CCCTTTTGTGGCTCGAGAAACCCTACGGGCCTGGCAAGAGAAGAATCATCCCTGGCTAGAGCTCTCTGATGTCCACCGTGAAACAACTGAGAATATCCGTGTCACAGTCATCCCTTTCTACATGGGCATGAGGGTATGTGCTAGCCTGGGCCAGCCTCGCCTAGCAAGACTAGGCCCCAGATTCTGTGTGGTATCCCTGATGTGACTGTTGGGGTGGGGGTGGAAGTGTATCTAACCCTAACCCTGCCCGGTGGCTCTGCTTTCAAGTGCTCATGTACAGGGTGGGGTTGATACTGGCCAGCACTATGACTTAGAGCAGGAAACCCACAGACCAGGAAGTAAGTAGTCTTCCATGCCAGCTCCTCCATCTCCCTTCTGCTAGAGAGAATCACGCAGCTCAGTGGTTAAGAACACTGCTTGTTCTTCCATAGATCTTCCGTTCAATTCCCAGCAACCATATGGTGGCTCACAACCATCTGTGATGGGATCTGATGCCCTGTTCTGGCTTGCATTAAGACGGCACTCATATACATAACATGTATAAATAAATCTTACATACATATATATGTACATACATTTGCCTAAATCAGTGTGGACTGATTGTCACACTTTGTATTTAGTACTGAATATTTACTGATTTGTGTCTTTCCTCACTCTAAGCTAGGTTGCAGATACAAGTATAAATGGAAGACTTGCTGCCTATTGGGACTCAGTTATAGGGATGTCAGCATTTATTCAGGCACGGCAGTGAGAGTGCGTGAGGAGGACAACAGGGGCCCAGGTGGCAGGGGTGTCAGGGCTGGCAGGGAGGCTGATGAGAATGAGCCCTGTGGTAGGTTTCTGTTGGCATCCAGCTCTGTTGGTTTTGACAGGATTGTAGAGGGGGCAGAACAGGAAGGATGCAGGGAGGCTGTTGGCCAAAGTTCTGTTACATTCATATTGGCTCTCAGACATTCCCAGCGTCATCAGTCTCTGCCGCCTTCCAGGAATACTTCATTTGAGATGTGTTGATTGGAACATACTTAGTCTCATCCTCAAACCTTTTCCCCCTCCAGGAAGCCCAGAATTCCCACGTCTATTGGGTGAGTGTCTCCCTTGGCAGGAGCTCAGAAAGGGCCTGGGGGTGGTGTAGAGGCACAGCTTTTGCCTCTTGGCTGGGGTGGATACAGCCACGCATGCAGTGGGAGCCCTGTTGCTGCTTATGGTCTGGAGTCTGGGTGGGCCGGTCCGGGTTATTCTTCCTCAGACAGGAGCTCTTTCCTTACAGTGGCGCTACTGCATACGCTTGGAGAACCTGGACAGGGATGTGGTACAGCTCCGGGAGCGGCACTGGCGGATATTCAGTCTCTCAGGCACCCTGGAAACAGTTCGAGGACGAGGGGTGGTGGGCAGGGTGAGCATCATTGGGCCACTGTGGCCTAGTTGCTGGTCCTGTTAGCAGGCCTGGGAACTTTTGGTATGTTTTCTGTTATGGACAATGCGTTCCTTGTGTGAAAACATTGGGTTGTCTGTGGTTTGAAATCTTACAACAGCCCTGTGGGGCAGATTGTCTGTAACCTGTTTCACAGATGAGGAGTGAGACTTAGAAGCTAACTGATGAGACTGGGAATGTAGCTCAGTTGTCGAGTGTCTGCCTTGCATCATGAACTTGACCCAGCGCTGCATTAACTGAGCACGGCTTTTGTGCCTATAATCTTAGCACTTGGGAAGTTTAGGGTCATCCTCGACTGCCTGGGATACATGAGTCCCTGTCTTGAAACACATACCTCTGGAAACCTGGTCCTCTGAACAAGCAGCAAGTGTTCTTAACTGCTGAGCTCTTTCCAGCCCCAAAGCTCAGGTACTTACTGTTGAGTGTGTCTTACTAATCTCTCCACCCTACTCCAACACTTGGGGTCAAACTAAGGGCTTGGTGCATGTTAGGCGAACACTCTAGCTACATCATACCGAGATGGCATGTCTTTTAAAACTGTGAATTTGTGGCAAATACAGTCAGAAGGATAAGAATTTAAGGCCATATTGGGCCACATAGAAAGTTTGAAATCAGCCAGATTACACGAGACATTATTGGAAAAAAATATGATATATATGTATACTCAGATATACATATATATATGGGCTGATAGGATGGCTCAGTGGATAAAGCTGCCAAGCCTGCTAACCTGAGTTTGGTCTCTGGAACTCACATGGTGGAAGGTGAGCACTGACCCCTTCAAGGTGTCTTCTGACTTGTACACATAGTAAAAGTTGCAGGTGTGTGGATGCGCGTGTGTGCTTGCATGTGTATGCGCGCACACAGAGGTAATTAATTACTTCTCCCAACAAGAAACAAGAGCATTCTGATTTTGGAACATGTACTTACTGTGTCATGTTTCTTTTTGCATTCATACATCTACTGGTCCTTGGAGAGATTTGATTTCATGTTCCCTGCCTCTTCTACCCTATCTCTTGAGAGAGAAAGTCATCTAGCACCATTGTTAGAAGAGACTTGGAAAAGTAGGGCAAAAGTAAACAAGGCTTGGGCTGGGTGTGTGGCACATGCCTGTAATGCACATGCCTGGAAACAGGCAGAATTGAACTTGAGGTCAGGTTGGGCTATGTGTTGTTTTTGAAAAAAGAAAAAAAAAAGAATCTTAAATAGGGCTTGCCTTCAGATTTCAGCTATATACTCTATAACTTTGGACACTTTTTCTTTTTTTGAGAAAGGGTTTCTCTGTGTAGCCCTGGCTGTCCTAGAACTTGCTCTGTAGGCCAGGCTGGCCATGAACTCATGGAGATTCACCTGCCTCTGCCTCCCTAGTGCTAGGATCAAGTGTGTGCTACCATGCCTATCTTGGGCAAATTATGTAACCCAGTGTTTCTTGCCTCTAAAGTGGAGATCACACATAGTACTCCATGGTCATCAAGAGAGTGACATCAGCAGGCAGAGGGCCTGCTGTTGTGTCTGGCACTTGTTCATGTGAGTGAATGTGGGGAGAGAGGTTTCCAAGGTGTTCCCAGCATCCTTCCCTTGGTCCTCCCAGTTTGTTTTTCCTAGAGACAGAACAAAAGGCTCAGGCCATTGGCCATATTATGTGAGGAAGTACTGAAAGATGGTCACTGTAGATGTGTCTGCTGTCATGGTTGCTTGGGTGGTGGTGGTCAGCATATAGCAGTCCCAGGGTGCAGGCGGTGTTTCTGGGGCTTGGCCTGATCCATTTTTGCCTGAATTCTTCTAGGAACCAGTGTTATCCAAGGAGCAGCCTGCATTCCAGTATAGCAGCCATGTCTCCCTGCAAGCTTCCAGTGGGCACATGTGGTGAGTGAGGGTATGCTGGAGGACGTTGCTCAACTCCACACACAGAGAAAAGTGAGAGCTGAAGCTGTGTGGTGGTTGTACACCTGTAATTGCAGCACTTGGGAGAGAATTCTAGGCCAACCTGGGCCACATAGTGAGATCCTATTTCGGCTCATGCCAACTGCCCACAAGCTGAACTCGTCCTGAGATGAGCATAGATGGGTGCTAATCATTGCTGTGTGGAACTGTTTGGTTTTTATGATTTAGTTCCATACAATTTGTGGGTTAAGGACATAGGTCCCAAGACTTGGGACTGTACCAAATGGCTAGTGTAGTTGGGTTTTCCCTTAGTCTTGAGTACAGGTGGGCTGCTTATGTAGTATGTAGCCAAGTGGCAGAATCTGAATAGCTGTGTTTTTGTTCCCACTCGGGGCTCTTGGATCTCTGGTTAACCCGTCATGGGCTAGGTACATGATAGTCCCAGCCTTCCCCATACAGCTGTGGCTCTGGTCAGAGAGGACATGGGGCCACACAGATCAAGTGGGCTTTTGGTTCAAACCATACTTCCTCTAAAGCAGCTTCTCCAATCCTCAGGGGCACATTTCGTTTTGAGAGACCTGATGGCTCCCACTTCGATGTCCGGATCCCACCCTTCTCCTTGGAAAGCAATAAAGACGAGAAGACACCGCCCTCAGGCCTTCACTGGTAGGCCAGCTGAGGTCCTTGAGTGCCTAGGCTGGGCTCTCAGAACAGCTCTTACCCATAACTGCTGCAGAACTCGAAACCTCTCCCTGTTGTGGGCCAGAATGGGTCTCTTAATTGTGGGATTCCTTTTTTTGGAGGTGGATTCTAACTTTTCTTGGAAGACCCACATAAGACTCCTCCAAGGTTGGCCTCTGCCCAGGCCCTGCCTATACCATGTTCCAGCAAAACTGTTAGGGAACTGTTTCAGTTGTCACAGGCTTTCTGGAATGTGAGGTGCGGTCAATAAATCAGTGCTCACTTGGCCACCATGGCCATTTTTGTCCCCAGGGTCTCAGGTTCCCTTGCTGGCCCTGTGGGAACTCTTGGTTGCTTTCCATGCAAAGTTTCTTCTTGGGAGCTTCTGGCTCTGCTAGGGTGTATCTTCCTCAGAGGCTGGATATCTCCTGGGGGCACTGGCTAACAGTGGACTGCACTGGACTAAATTTTTGGTCTCTTCCTTAACCTTGGCCCAGTGCAGAGGAGGCCAGCATTTAGAGTTGGGAGTGGCCTGACTGCGAACACTGATTGGCCACCAGCATCTGTAGCTTCACTAGGCCTGGAGAAGAGTGAGGCAAAACCAGTCAGGTTTCCTGGAGCTGTGGGCTTCTGAGCATTGAGCAAAAGTCTGTCAGGCATCCAGACCACAAGTGCGGGAACCCAGCCAAGAAGCAGCTTCAGTTATGGACAGTGACCAAGCCAAGCCGCTTTCTGAGCTTTCAGATCAACAGGAGTCAGAGAATTGGGCTGCATTTTGCTCCAGTTCCTTCACCATTGTAGTCACTGTTAGAGGTTGTTCATTCTTGCATTATTAAATCTCAGGTCCAGTCCTTATGAGTGCTGTTCTTAATCTTCTGACAACATAGGAATGAGTCTCCTGACATAACCAGAACACAAGGTCATGGAGGGAAGAGGAACATAAGAACTGAGCCGACAGCTGTGAGCTGCCCGAGCTCTACTCCCTGGAAACATGGCTCAGCACTACCGCAGTGTAACACAATTTTATTACAAGTTAGTGTTTACTTCTATCTTTTAGGGTAAGCAACGAAGGATTGCAGGTACGCAATAAAGGACACATTCTTTCATGCCAGAACTGTGCTACCCTTTAGGCAGACAAGTCACACACAATCCAAGTTCAACAGGGCCCACAGCTAGTGTTTAGCAGCTCCCAGTCTGACCTTCATCTGTGCTTTGTGCCTACTTCCTGGGGCTGCCTGTGATTAGAAAAATCCATCCTGCCAAAGGCTACTTTAGGATAGGACAGGGAAATCCCATAAAACCTCAAGCCACAAAGTCTAAGCAAAGAAGCTCAGATCACTTCAGTGTTAGTGTTTTCCCTAAACCAAGATGTTTTAAGTCAAGGAAGACAAATGCCCAACCTGGGACTTCTGCTACTGTGCTTTTCCAGCCCAACGACTAGATACCATTGAACAGCAGAGGACACGGATGTCAAAGCACCAAGTAGAGGCTAAAGGGGATGTGGAGGTCAAGGAATAAACTGAAAATATGAGGACATGGATGTAAAAGCACCAAACAGGCCAAAGGGGATGTAGAGGCAAAGGAACAAATGAAATACGCAGCAGGGAGCTGGGAATCTGGCTTCTTGGGGACAGCTGAGGGTGGCCTCATGCTGCAACATTCCAAAGTCTGTGGGAAAGACTCAAAGCCTAAACTTGGACAAAAATGGATTGTCATCTTAGTTCCTGTGAGATCTGGAAGAACTAGTAGCTGCTGATCACCAAGGTGCCTGACTCAAGCATCTTAGAGCTATTTATACATTCAAGACTGTGATTAAGACAAAATGCTGATTGCTAAGTCACATTTCCCCTGCTCTATCACATCAAGTCAAGTCCTTGTGAGAGCCCAACCCTGGACCTGGCATCTGCCCATAGGCTCTGAGAGGTGAGCTGTGTTTGGCAATCATAAGAGCAGTCAATGGATGCAGCTGACAACCCATGTTCCTTCCTGAGCACTGTTGATAGCCACACACTTTGTCAGCCTTGCAAACAGCTCCCTTCAGTGACTACATTCCTCTGGAAAGAGTCCAGTTAAGAGGGCCAAGCCCAATAGGGAGGGGAGGGGAAAATGGGGACCAAAGCCCAGAGGAATTCACACCCAGTCTAGACCTTGCTACCCCCATGGTCAAGTAACCCAAAAAAAGAATAATGGCCTTTCAAAGGCTTAAGTTGCCCTGGTTACTATATATTTGGAGACTCATCACTAGGCAGAACCACCACCCAGAGCCAGCACATAAACCGAGATGTGATTGCCACAGGCTGGGCCACATCTGTGGGCACTGCTGGCAGCATGGGGCTCCAAGAGCTTGCTGTCCTCAGCTGATGGCTCCAGGGCCTTCTGCTGCAGCTGGTGTTTCTGGCCTGCTTTTGGCTTTATGGTTTGTGGGGACAGCGTGTCTTAGAGCTGAGCATACCCAAGTGTGAGATGCAAACCAAACAATCCTGTTACGTGTCAGTCAGTGATGTGAGGTCTCATTCCCCACAGGATGCTACCAAAACCACAGTCTCAAATTGGGCATCCTTCTCTTGGTAGTCTTTGGGCTGGCTAGTCAGGCTGACAAAGCCAAACCTGGTCAGTTTAGTTATTTTTTTTTTTTTGAGACAAAGTCTCTCTATGTAGCCCTGGTTGGCCTCAAACTTATGACCCTCCTGCCTTGGCCTTTGAGTGCTGGCATTACAGACTATGGCAGCCCACCTGGCTGTTAACTGCTTTATCCCTTCCCTCAGATTCTGCAAGAGGAGACTAGTGTCAGAAAAAGCTTTGGGTCAAAGCAGAATAGAGTTTTCTGAATGCCAGTAATACAAAGTGCTTTAAAGATGGGACCTAGGGCATTGAAAAGGGTGGAGTATGTGTGTGGGAGTCTGCCTAGGTGGGGTCTTGGCATCCTGCAGGGGTTACAAATACTTAGTCCAAGGCTGTCCTTCATGAAACTAGAAACTAGTAATTTCTTAGATACTTTGTGTATGTGGCAGTACTGGGGATTGACTGAACCCAGGGCCTTACTCATGCTAGGTAAGTATTCTACTGAGCTATGTCACTAGCCCCCTTTTAAAATTTTTATATTGAGATAAGGCCTTGCTAAGTTATCCTGCCTCTGCCTCTCTATAGGTGGGATTATAGGTACGGCCACTATGCTAACATCTAGATTTAAAAACAAACAAAAAACCAGGTCCTACCTACGCTTGAACACTTTGGGGAAAAAAAAGAGGACTGTCCTTTCTTTTCAAAATTGGGTCCTGACAGCACCAGAAGCCTCCTTTCCCCTAGAACAAAGCTGTTGCTGTGGGCCTCAGCTGAGGAACTGAAGCTCTTCAGCATAAAAAAGGGGCCCTCAGCCAAGGGCCTGGGACTGTTCTTGCCAGGAGCTGGGAAGTCAGCGTATTCACCCTAGAGCAGAGGTAGCTCCCTGTTGGCAGGAAGTGGGGTGGCATCTGGAAGTGCTGGGGGAGGAGGGCCAGTGAGACAATGTGGCCTTTCCTCTCCCAGCCTCCCTGACCTCAGGCAGGCCTGTCAACTTACATACTAGAGAAGGCTCCTAGCTAGCAGGAACAGCATAGGGTGGCCAGTGGGGTGTGTACCACAGAGTGGCAGACAGGGCTTCTTGTGTCCTGACTTCCTAAGGATCTCATTAGTCTCGATGAGAGGACTGGTGGCTGAGCTGCCGGTCATCGTAAGTGCTATAGCGCTTGACGTGAATGCGGCGGACACGGTCCCGAAGTTCAAAGGTATCCTCATCTTCACTGGGGGAGGCTTGGCTGCGGCTTCGGCTTGTAGCCTCAAGCAAGGAATTGTCAGGGACCCGAGGGGTCTCGTAGAGTAGGACATTGAGTGTCTCCTCATAGATACGGGCCTCCGGGAATTCCACCTGGGGAGAGGGGGACAAGATGGAGTAAGGTTACATTTAGTGCGGAAACACGTCAGGGCTCTTCACCTTGCCTCTTCCATGAAGCTTCCTAACGTAGAAGTCATGTGTCCCCTGCCAGAGGAGAACCCGTACATGCCTTGGTCTGCTTCTTCTCTGTGGCATACACGATGGAGGTGCAGCACACCTCCGCCAGCTTTCGACCCTGGCCATAGAAAGACCAGCAGCAGATCTCGTCGCCAATGACGTCCTTGATGAAGAGCACACGACCATTGAAGCGCAGGGACAGCTTGTCAAACAGTTCAATGTTTTTCAGCAGGTGATCGTCAGAGTTGCTGAAAAACCACAAGGTCAGTAGGCCTGGAATGAGGGTCCAGCACAGGGGATTTTGCTGCGATGTGCTGGGCTCTGCACTCCCTGGCCCTAGAGTGCTGAAATGAAGCCAAGGCAGAGCGACGGGCCGCCTGTGGGACTGGGGACCGTGAGGGAAAGGGGTGGAGCTGGCTCTCAGTTCCAGCAGAGAACATTGAGGGAAAGAAGTGACCCCTTCTTAAGCCTGGAAGGAAAAGTCCCTCGCTGCTGCTTCAGCAGTGTTCCATCTTTGCCGTGGGGTGATGCAGTGTCCCCCGGGGACAGCCCCCGGGGTCTGCCTAACTCGGCTCATGCTTCCTAGCACTCCTTTTCACCTCCTAAGACAACAGGGATAGAGATCCCTGGCATGCTCCTCATATGACACAGGCATGTTTTACGTTTTAACACCCACATTCCAACCAGGCTCTGTGACAAATATGCCTCTCCCGAGTTCCCTTCAGTATCCCTGTTCATCGTCCTCAGCAAAGGTGGTTTCAAAGCCCATGCTGTGTGTGTCGAGAAGCTGTGACGTGCCCGCTGCCCAGCACCCGCGCCGGCTGCTCAGCCCTTTAGCTGCTTCTGCCGCCCTCCCAGGGCCCTGGCACAGATGCCTGCCATACCTGGTGTATGAGTACTTGTTATTGCTCCTGTTGTACAGTAGCTTCACCACAGGCTGTGAGGGGAGAAAGAGTAAGGGCTAGACCAGGAGCCTGGTGTCCCCAGGCCGCGGCCCTCGGTGTGCTCAGTACCTTGGTGGAGGATTCAATGAGCCTGTCCTCCTCCCTCAGGGACGTGATGATGGGGATGTTGCACACGGGCTGGTAGGCATCCTTCTTGTCCTGGGCGACACACAGAGCACACAGCCGCCTTTAGGATTTTGCATGGGCCTTCTGCCACAGTCACCCCCAGCCTCGTAAGGAGGTACCAGATGGATCATGACATTCTTGGTGAGACAGGCCCAGCCAGTAAGGAGCTCTCCACTGCCAGAAACCCAAAGCTCGGACATCTAGGCAAATGAACTAGATGCACAGCCTGCCTGTGCTGCCAGGCATCACTCCCTAGCAGTAGTTCGCTGGGCCTGGGCAGCTCCCCATTGTTCTGAATGGGTCTGGACTCAGCCTCATTTCCAACAGGAGCCAAGCCTCATGTCCCCAGAGGGACAACTCCCAACCTCATCAAACTACCCAAGCCCTCCCGTACCTGCAGGGCAGTCTGGCACATGTTCACCAGTCCTTGAATGAGGTAATATTTTGCTTCAGCCATCAACTCCTGGATTTCTTGCCGGTTTTGAGGGAGGGTGATGGTGTCATCTCGGAGGTAATTCAGGATGGTGCCGAAGTGCTTTCCACATCGGTCTATGAGGATCCAGCCTAGGGATTTAGAGGGAGCCCACAGGATTACCCTTTGCCTCCAGCTGTATCCAGCGCAGGCAAAGGCCACCTGAGAGAGGCAGGCAGCAAGACTCCAGAAAAGGAACTATATGGGCAGAATCCAGAGGCCAGGCCAGGGGTGACCAGAAGACTCTAGGCCTCAGGTCTATGCTGCTCTTGCCTGTCCTAAGTCCAGGAATTGCTGTGCACCTGAGAAAACACAGCTCTTCAGGACTCTGGAGGATTGGATGTGTAAATTTGCGGGTACTCAGCCCACCCTGGCAATACAGAAACAGCCAGTCTCTGCTTACCTCTGCCCACTGCCAGGCTCTCCTGTGCTTGTGTCAATCTTATCCTCTCTGGATACATACACATACATCAGCTTTTGTTTGTTTGTTTGAGACAGGGTTTCTCCGTATAGCCTTGGCTGTCCTGAACTTGCTTTGTGCCATCATTTTGGGATTCAAAGGTTTCATGTAGCCCAGGCTGGCCTCAAGCTCACTATGTAATGGAGGCTGGCTTCAAATTTTTGACCACCCTGTTCTCACCTCCACATGCTAGGTTTACAACGTGTCCTGCCACACCCAACCTGAATATTGTTTAAGTATGGACTTTTTCCTCGGGAGGACACATAAGCATACAAATTCTCTCAATGTACAATTTCAAGGAATTCTAAAGCTCGAAGACTTGTATGAAGAGGAAAACATACAGATTCTAGATCTGATGAACTTAAGCTCTGCCCTGAAGTCATCTCAGGATGCCCCCTTCCTCCCTTCCCTTGCCAGCATGCCCGGATGTAACTGCTCACCTTCTTTGTCGGTCAGCACCTCCATGCGCCCACTGAACATGGCCTTGAGCATAGTGTCGTGGCGGGTGAGGGCCCGCACTGTTGTGTAGTACAGGGAGCCGCCCACATTGAGCTGCACGTACTTGTTGCCCAGCCCGCCTCCCTTGAAACCACTTATCTTGGGCTTGGCCCCTGAGGCTGGGCACAGACAGGTGTCCCCTGACATCTCCTGCTGCAGGTAGATCACCACACGGCAGGAGGTTGGCTTGGAAGGTTCTGCCGTGGTGGAAGTGGTCACAAGTGAGCGGCCCGCAGAGGCCAGGGCCTCATACTCTCAGTGCTGTAAGCAAGAGGTAGAGAGAACATTGAAGTCATCAGAGAAGAGGCCACAAAGGAAGAGGGACAGCAGTAGGAACTCTGACACAGTTTACTTCCTAGATAAGCCCATGTACTCCCAAGCAGAGGCTAAGTTCCTGGTATGCTGGTTAGTTTTTTGTCAACTTGACACAAGCTAAAATCATCTGGGAAGAGAACCTTGATTGAGAAAATGCCTCCATAACACTGGCCTGGAGTGGGGTCATTTCCCTGATTAATGATTGATGGGAGGTGGGTGGTGCCATCTCTGGGAAGGTGATCTGAGTAGTATAAGAAAGAAGGCTGGGCAGGCTAGTTATGGCCAGCTTTCCTTTATGGCTTTGGCTTCAGTGCCTACACTCAGGTTCCCGTCACCAGGTTCCTTCCCCTATGTCCTTCAATGAAGACCCTGGGACGTGTAAGCCAAATAAACTCTTTCCTCTCCAAGTTGCTTTTGGCCACATTGTTTGATCATGGCAGTAGAAAGCAAGCAGGACACTGGGCAACAGAAGAATGGCCCCTGTGCTGTTCTCACAACGTCAGGAGCCAGATCTAGGAGCGTGGCCTCCCTGCTCATCTCACCAGCTCCTCCAGGCTCAGCTCGGCTTCAGGTTGCAAGGAAAACTCTTCGCTCTAGCTAAGAACTGGATGAACAGGTCGCCCTGGGATCTACCACACTGACTTCAGAAAATGTTCTCCCAAGATTCCCAGGATTCCAGACTTCTAGACTAACTGCATGGGAATCTAGCCTGCCTAGGAGTTTCCCAGGAGCCACATGGACAGGATGCATTTCCTGTCTCAGGGGTAGCCTGCTCCAGGACTCAGGTTAACACCAGCCAAAGAAAGCCTGGTTCGAGGAAGGAAAATGAATGTGGTTCTAAGAGAGCTCAGGGAGGGCTGGCTTTGGAGCAGCCAGCCAGGGTGCTCGGCAAAGGGTCACGTGAGCTTCCACAGGTTTCCTGACCTTCCCCTTTCTTGGCACCAGCCTTGCCCCAAGTTCCTGTAATTGTCACCATTTTTCAAGGCAGAACACAGGATGGCTATTTTGCTGCTTTTTCCTGAGAGCCCTATCTCTCTTTTCTTCCTTCCCACCAAGAATGGGGAGAACAGACATGATGATGACCCTAAAAATGACTAACAGTTCAGTGACCTGTGACATGATTAAAGGAAAAGTTGGTTTGTCCTCCTGGTTTGCATTCTGTTTTTGTTTTGTTTTGTTTGTTGAGACAGGGTTTCTCTACGTAGTTCTGGCTGTCCTGGAACTGGAACTCACTCTATAGACCAGGCTAGCCTTGAACCCAGAGATCCGACTGCCTCTGCTTCCCAGAGTACTTAGATTAAAGGCGTGCACCACTGCCCAAGCTCTCATTCTGTTTTTTGATGCTCCTTATGTTCTAAATTCTAAATCTACAGATTGAAAGAGGTCGGAATACTAAATCCTAGCTAGGCAGTAGTGGAGTACTGACACACACTTTTAATCTCAGCACTTGGACTTCCCAGATTATGTAAAGAGACCCTGTCTCAAACAAAAACAAAAACACAGACTAGAAGACAGACTATTAAAAAAGGAACAAAGAAGCAGGCAGTTACACAGGTGATCAGTGTAACTCAGAATACAAGAATGACAGGAGAATTATCAGGTCGAGGTTTCAAGAGAAGATGACATTTCAGCTGAGGTCTGAAAAGTATATTCTAGACAGCAAGAGCAAAGCTCCTGTTTAAACAAGTTTTAGAGGCTGAAGAGATGGCTCAGTGGATAAGAACGTGTGTGCCTCTTGCAGAAGACACAGGTACAGTTCCCAGCAGTCACATCAATAGGCTTGCAATAATCTGTAACTCCTATTTCAGGGGACCTCCCCCTTCTGGTCTTTGCTGCCGCTGCATGCACATGGTACACTCAGGCACACACATGTACACTTAAACAAAATTTTAAAAATAACAAAAGTTTTATGGCTCTGGAGAGATGGTTCGGCAGTTAGGAACATTGGCTGGCTGCTCTTCCAGAGGACCTAGGTTCAAAGACTGCATTTCTAGATTAGCCCTCTTCTGGTCTAAGGGCACCAGGCACACAGGTGGTGCACAGACACACATGCAGACAAAGCTACCACACACATTCACTGCTAAAAAGGACAAGTTTTGGGAACAATAGTGACATAGTGGCTGGTATGCAGGTAGAAGGGGGAAGGTGGTCTGATGGAAAGCCAGACAGTTAAGATCTGGGTTATCCGTGATTTGCGATACACTATGGGAACTGACTGGAAGGCTTTAAGCAGGGGAGTGATGTGATCTGATTTATTTATAGTTTCCAAGTACACCTTGATGCTTTGTAGGACTGGCTGCAAAAGTACATGAAAGGAAGTGGGAAGAGCAGAGGAAGGAGTGGGCCAGGCAAGAGACCACAGAAGCAATTCTGGAGACAAGCAAACAAAAAAACACCGAAGTGGAACCAATCTCTTTAAATCCCAGAACACTGAGCGGCTTCCTGTTAGCCCTCATGTCTTACAGGTGAAACGCAGGACGATGGTCCTCAAACAAGAATGGCATATTTTTAAGTATTCAATATATATCAGCTTGTTAAGACTACAACTGTCCCTTAAAAGATTTAGGTATGTCCCTGGAATGGGTGGTGGTAGGGGCCCCGGGGGGAGGGGTGCTAAGTAGCATATCCTTTTGGTGGCTTCTTATCTGCTTCAGTGGTGGAATATGGATGAAATGAGCCGCAGGAGACTGACAGTAAGTAACACTAGAATGGTAGCAAGGTGAGCAATTGTCTGACCTCAAAGAAAAAAAAAAATCAACTCCTTAACAAGTTTTAGCAAGTTCCTCACATATTTTGTGTCCACCTTTATTTCCCTAGAATCAAGGAGGCACACGTTCTGCCAAATCAAAGAAACTCAACGACTAGATTTGCCAAGTGAGGAAGTCAAATCCGGAGCTAATCTATTCTTTTCCTACAAAGCAGCCACTTTGAGTCCTAGATGACGTCAGTCCAGATTCCACCCAGTCCAAGAAGTTCCAAGAGTCCAGTGGCAGGTGACGCCCTAGAAAGAAATTTCTGAGAGGATGAAGTTTCCACTGCTCTTCCCTCTGGACTTCGCCTGTGGATAGTAGGGTAACCCTGGGGCGGGAGACATACATGGATTCTAAGAGAACCTAGTGAGAAGCCAAGCAGAACAAAAGGCAAACGATCGCAGAAGGGTAAAGATTTGGGATCCTAAAGGAAGGACACGAGGGACGGCGAGGGGGTGGGAAGACTGATTTGGGCTAGAAACGCCAGCAATCGTGGGAGCGACGCTTAGGCTTCCCCAAAAGGTGCCCTGTGCAAACGGAAAAACATCCCATCCCTCTCGTGGCAGTGCAGGCTGCTCTCCCGCCACACCCCTCCTCAGAGATCCGCGGCGCCTCCCATCCCCAAGGGACCTGAACTCCATCCCCACGCGCTGTCCCATGCTTCTGCCCAGGACTCGGCAGAGCCTGTCCTTCCCCGGTGCACCGCACGTCCGGCTCTCACCGTCCGCGGGGGCGCTTCTCCTCTCAGCCGACAGGCAAACGGACTCCGTGCCTCTTCTGGCCTGTGGCTGCCTGCAATCTCGGCTGTGAGCTCATATCCTGCGCCGGCCAACTTCGGAGCTACAGCCTAGCCCTGCGGCTCGGGAAACAGACTACAAGACCCGGCATGCACAGCGCGCGAGCAGGCGGCGGGGTCGCAAGCCCGCTGGGGTTTGGCTATTTTCCGCTTCCGGGTGTGAGAGCAAATCTACTTCCGCCGTCGTCCCCTCCACTCCCACCCGGCGCAAAGGCTTCTGGGCCTAGTGGGCAGTTACCGCTCGTGTTGCCTCTGTTTCCCAGCAGGCACCGCGGGGTGGGAGTCTGCTAATGCTTCTAGTGTCAGAGGGTGACGAGTTGCAAGTAGGTCCTGTATCCGTGGCAACTACCGGTTGCGGTTCCTGGAGAGAAGCTTCCGTGGACAGCCGTTTGGGCCTCAGCGCGCCGGTCGGCAGGTAGGTCGTGATTTAAGGTCGGGGGACGTGGCGGACCTGGGACAAGAGGAGAGCGGCGTGGCCCGGGCGCTGAGGAGTGGCAGGCCCAGGTCGAAAGCGGCGGTTTCCCCCATTCGGAATTTTTAGGGAGCGAGTTTATAGTTAGCTCAGCCCAAGAGCGTAGCTCCCGACGATCTCACCGGGAAACCGAGGCTCGGACATTGCAGGAGGATAAGGTTGTAAAGACAGCCAGGTCCTTTGCCCAGTGCTTTCTGTGTCAACGCCTTCTCCACACCCCAGGGCTGCAAGTGTTCTCAGCGCCTGCGGATCTGGGAGAGCCAGGGAGAGTGGAGCCAGTCACAACCTTAGGACACTCAATCCCAGATCCCTGGGACATATTTGTCGCGGGTGTAGGTGTGGGGTGGGGTATCTGGTGAACCATTTCCCTGCAGCTCTTCACCATCTCATTAAACTGCCCTTTTCAGCCAGGCAGTGGGTTCAGTCCAGATTCATGTCTGGTGCTTTTCTTCACTCCTCTCCAAAACGCTGGACTAAGCAGTCCATTACTAAATTCTGTCGACTCAGAAAACATCTCTGCTCTGAACTCGTGGTCGGCTTCAAGTCTTTTCTACTGTTCCGCCTACTGTTTCCACATTCATTCATTCCGCAGACATTACAGAGTGCCACTTACCTGCGGGCAACCTGCTTAAAGATGCTAGCTAGGCTCACAGTGAGGCGGCG